GATGGGGGATTTGGACTGAGCCTGGTTTCCCACCATAATGTGAGGTTTCAGGGGCTCTTCTATGTGCTGCTGTAACACAGCCTCTTTGGAATTAAATGTTCTTACTTCCCAACTCCATGGTAACAGCTTTTTTTGCATGCTGTGAATGGAAACTGAAAAGCCACCCCCTGACCCTGGCTGGGCACAAAGAAAATGGAAATTGACATATTTCTGACTAGCACAGCCTAGTCAGAAATATGTTTTCTGCCTTTGGTCCCTCAGTATCCCCTCTTCTTTTGTAAAACTTGTTTATGCCCCTGAGCCCCCCATAGATAGAGATAGGAAGCAGTGAAGGTATCCCCTAACTTCCTCAGGGTCAGCTTTGAAGAAACGTGTTTTACTTCACCAACCTGCCTCCTGAGCTCTGGTGGAGTGGTGAGGAGCAGTAGGACCTTCTGTGGTGACAGCTGCATCCTTTGACAGTGGCATCGCATGTGAATGTCACAGAGTGTGCCTCGAAAACCCGAAGGTGCAGGGCAATCGATCCACAGCCTCCATTTGCAGCCAAGAGATGCAGTGGACACGAGATGCCTGAGTTGCTGCCAGTGAACACGACACACTGTTTTACAGTCAACTTTTTTTTTGGTGCTGGGGATTGAACCCAGGGCCTTGTGCTTGCGAGGCAGTCACTCTACCAACTGAGCTACATCCCCATCCCCCAATTTTTTTTTATATAAGTAGCAGGCATATACTCTAAAATAATGATTAAAAATATAGCATGGCATTGAGCTGCCGTGGCCAGAGCTATTTAAATGTCCATTTTGTCTCCATGACTGATAGACTTTGCTTCATCATGGACTATTTGTCATCAGAGGGATTCGGGTGGAGGGTCAGTAAGTTACTGATGAGTCTCTGGAAAGTATAAGGAGAATCCTGAGTTTGGCCCTTGAGTCTCAGGATGCAGGAATCAAGACCATCACAATGTGGCTGAGCAAGGAACCATTAAACCACAGAGAAGACATGGACCAGATGATATAGACACGGGAGGCACCAAGAACTTTAATAGAACTTAACAGTCGCTGTGACCTTTGCATTGATCCTGTCATGGAACACAGAGCTGGGAGTTCAGCAAGGCTGGTAGGCACACGGGGAGATGGCGGAGACCTCAACTCACCCAGCAATGTAGTAGCAAAGCAGCCAGCCAGGGAACAAGTGGTCAGGGTCACAGCCATGGGAGCAGCCAGCAGTGGAGACATCAAACCTGTAACTCATGGTGCCAGAGAAGGTGACACAGAAGAGCCTCTGACTCCGGTGGGCAGTGTTCTGGGAAACCTAACAACCTGGCCCTGGAAACGGACAAAGAAACGGAAGCTCAGTGTGGACAATAGCTGGACACAGAAGAGGCCGACATCAATGAGATGGATTCGACACCAGCAGAGCCTGAGCCGAAAGGCTGCAGCCTCTGCCACTCTTCCTCTCTTTTCTGGCTCCTCCATCCAGCCATTCCCTTGGCCAAGCTTGACATTCGGCCCCTCGCTCTTCTACTGAGGAGATGATGGGGAGAAGTGCTAGAGGGGCACCAGCCTCCCTACTCTCAAAAAAAATTTTTTTTGAGGGTCCGCTCAGTATTCTGAGGTGAGTTTTGTAGTTTGGTTTTGTGTTGGGGGAAGACAAAGGGCCAGGGAAGAGATCCAAGGTTGTGACCTCAGTAAACACCTGCAGGCCACAAAGCAAGAAGTGGCAGGGCCATCATAACGATCTTCTTGGGTTTAGTTTTCAATTTAAGTTGCAGGTTTTGCCAGTTAGATACAAATCTGGTTTTTGAACTTTTATACACAATATATTTTTTATCATATATCACAATTTTTCAACCTTTTTTTGGTACTGGAAGTGGAACCCAGGAGTACTTTACCACTCAGCCACATCCATAGCCCTTTTTATTTTTTATTTTGAGACAGGGTCTTGCTAAGTTTCTTAGGCCCTTGCTAAGTTGCTGAGGCTGACCTTACATTTGCAATCCTCCTGCCTCAACCTCCTAAATTACTGGGATTACAGGTGTGAGCCACAGTGCCCAGCAGCCTTGTGTATTGAACTATGTCCAGAATCAAGTTTATGCAGATCTAAACTGTTGTGAAAATCAAATCAGTATTAGTCACCTTTGAAGTTTATCTGCAAACTTCCAAGTTGTCAAAGCGGCTCAGTTTGATCAATAACCACTGCTTGATCCTTACAATTAAATTTTGTAACTAAAAAAAGATACAGTCTAGTAAATACATAAACCAGTAAAATAATTTTTTTTAATCATCAAGTATTATGCACGGAATAAAGTTGTATGTGATGTACTTGAATACGACTGGCGGTGCAGTAGGTTTGCTTACACCAGCCTCTCCACAGGTGATTGAGTGGTGCATTGTACTTTGACGACACTGTGCAATAGTTTTTCAGCTCCACTGTAAATTTATGGGATACCTGTCTATGAATGACACCTCATTATGCAGGGCTTGACTGCACTGGAGACTCTGATGGCTGGTTTCAGAGGAGGCGGGGAGCATGTCCAAAGCGGCTCCTTAAACTCATTCATTCCATAGGTGGATTGAGGTTCTTTGCTGGATCCAGAGGCAGCTTGGGGGCAAAAATCCCTGAGAAGGTAGGGTGGGCGATGCCTCCCCTAAGATCCAGGAAACTCCAGCCCCTGCGATAGGACCCCTGCACAGCTGGCTCTGTGGCAGCTCTCAAGCAGCCCGGGCTCTTTCCCAGGCCTGAAGCCCTGGTCTCCTCTGACGGAATCTGAGATACCCCCGAGGACACCTTGCCAAGCTGCTGAACAGGCAGCAGTGCCTATGAGAATCTTCATTCAGGGCAGTCCTGGGGGAGCACTGCAAGCCCAGGAGGTATCACAGCCCCTCTCCTGGGAGGCATAAGTCCCTTTACCTAATTTCAGCAGGGAGGCCACAGCTTCAGGCTGTGCAGGGCTCAGTCTGAGTTCAAAAGGCTTGGAGGGCTGAGGAGAGGCCCCACTGACTTTAACCTGAGAAGATGCCATTTACAAACACATGACATGTCTGCTGGCTGGGCAGTCCTGAGACGGCTCCTACCCTCTTGTTCGTGAGATCATGATGTCTATTTCTCAAGGTTATTGCCACCTGGAATGAGATCATGAGAGCAAAAACACTCAAAATTTACAAAGTCTCTACCAATGTGGAAGATTACGATTCTGCATTCGGAAAGCAGAAATAATAGTTGATATTATGGGTGCCCAATCGGCCCTCTTTTCAGGGCCATGCACTCCCTAGCTGTTATGAAGGTCGGCTGCTAACAGTTCAGTCGCTCCCTCTTCAGAGTAAATGGACACTGCCTTATTTGGGGGTCTCACCTGATGATTGCCTGACATGGCTTGAAAGGCCACTTCCATCCCTCAGTAGGGCAACTCCAGTGCAGCACCGGCTCCAGCGCTTCCCATGAGGTGGGGCTGGTGCTTGGCTGCAGCTGAGAACTCAGCCTGGCTCCTCCCCCCACTCTGTCCTTCTCCTTTGTCTTGATTCTGAGGATTCTTCTTCAATGGAGGACACACATTCAGATCTGCCTTGGGCTCTACTTTTAGGAAACCTGACCCAAGTATATCCCTTACAAAGTTTATATATATATATATATATATATATATATATATATATATATATCTCCACACCCACACACATGTAAGCATGTGATCCACCAATAAGCTACACTACCAGAATAAATTATATAATATAAAGAAATTAGTCCAGTGCCTGGCATGTAGTGATTACCCAATAAATGTTAAGAGATTGTGATTGGGGAGGAGGGGACAGGGCACAAGGCCCTGAGTCCCAGCCCCAGCACCACCACCACCACAAGAGTAAGAAGTCAAAATACGGTGGGTTGGTCAGTTGATTGATTTTTATATGCTAAGGGAAAATGGTAAGCAGAGAACAGCAGCTGTGTTTTCTTGAATATCTTTGCTTCTATTTTGGCCCTTACACAACTAATTAAGTTTCAGTCATGATATACATTTCCCTCACCAGCAGAGGGAGCCATATACATGCAAATAAGTGCTGTTTTCTCCCTCCCCTCAAGCAGCCTGGGTTGGCAGGAAAGATCAGGTACATGACAGAGCAGAGGTGGGAAGTTCCTGGAGATTGACACAGATAGTAGGAGTGAGCAGAACAGGGAGGAACACTGAGTCAAGCTGGTCGGAGGCTCTTGGGGGCAGGGACAGGGAGGCTTCTGCCACTCAGGCTCCAGGAATAGTGAGAGGAGATAGCTTTCCCAGGGAAGCCACCACTACGGCTAGGTGGTCAGGGCCTGGCCTGGGCAGGGTGGTGGCAGCAAGGTGGTTAAGAGAGGATATTGATAATGGAATGGAATAAGATGGCGCCAGAGATTGTACTGTGTTCTTGGCTCTTGTGTTCTTGCATGAGAGGATTTCAAGCAAGACATGAGACTAAGTAAGAGTATAGCGAAGTTTATTAGAAAAGAAAGAAGAGGGGGAGCACCCTCAAGGGGGAGAGTGGGTCCTCCCAGAGAAGAGAGTGACAACTCACTTCTTTGTGAGTTCCGTTTTATTGGGGTAGGAGGGGAGGTTTCAGGAGAATCCCACCCAAGCAGTACCTCTGAGCTGTTGATTGACAGTTGGACTGCACATGTTTTTACCTAAAGGCAACTCTCCGTCCCTTTGGTTTCTATAAAGGTCACAAGGCTCTCTTTCATTAGGGTCCAGTAGGGATTCTGCTGTTTTTTTCATGGGTGGGTTTTTGGACCTGCACTTCTTAATCCCAAGAAGGAAGAACAACCCTGAAAATAGCAAGCTTGTGAGTCCAGGATCGTAACATACTGTTATCTCTTTTTTAAAAAAATTTTTTTTTAGTCGTCAGTTGACCTTTATTTGTTTATATATGGTGCTGAGAATCAAATCCAGTACCTTACACATGCTAGACAAGCGCTCTGCAACTGAGCTACAACCCCAGCCCTACTACTGTTATCTCTTAAACCACAGCCAGGTCAGAATGGCCTGCTGTGGCTGCTGAGACAGGCTGAGGGTTAGCACAGTCTATGGCTCAGTCTATAGAATTACCCTTTAAACTCTATGTTCGCCCACTGCCCACTTCTGTTTATCTGCTGTCTAACAGGTATGGACACCAAGTCTAGCCAAGCAGTCCAGAAGAATAGTGGACCCACTGATATGGAGGAGAAGTTGAGGTAGGTTTTATAGAACACCAAGGACATTTCTCTAACTGGTTTGACCGCCCTGTTGGTCTGCAGTGATATCGTCTTACATGGTACCCTTCCAGCAAGCTGCAACTCTGCAGGATTCCTGTTCTGCATGGATTCCAGAAACCAGCGCAGTACTCAGAGGTGTTTTGTTTTGTTGTGTTTTTTGGGTACCAGGGATTGAACTCAGGGGCACTCAATCACAGAGCCACATCCCCACCCTATTTTGTATTTTAAAAATAGAGTCAGGGTCTCGCTGAGTTGCTTAGTGCCTCGATAAATTGCTGAGGCTGATTTTGGACTCACAATCCCCCTGCCTCAGCCTCCTGAGCCGCTGGGATTCCAGGCATGCGCCACCGCACCCAGCTTCAGAGGTGTTAATAGCATAAGGATTCCATTGGGAGTAGAGGCCAAGAAGTGTCCCATAGCTCACAGGGATTGTGTTCCAGCGTTGGAATTAAACCTCTAGGGTGAATAAATGAGAACATTAAAGAATCTCCTAGGGGTGATAGGGAGTAAAAATAAAGAAGGAATGAACTTGAAAGTGGGTGGCCTCCCTAACCCTGAGATTTCGTCCTTTTTGGAGGTGTGGTTGCAGCCTCCAGATGGCAGAGAAGGTCTCTGGGTTGTTCCTGGACAGAACTAGAACACAGATAAGAGCCAAGACTGGGCAGAGAACCACAGGTTGAGGCTGGTGGGCTGCAGGCCTCCTCCTGGGCCACCTACAACATCCCCCAGGAGGCTGCTTTTGGAGGATGCTGCTGGACCTACAGGCTCAGGAAAGGGAGCTGCCTCAGGGGGCTGGGCTTTCCTGGAAACCAACTGGGTCACCCTTGTCCTTTACCAGGAACCCACCCAAGAGAGCAGCACTGAACTCCCCACAGGCTAAGAGGTGGGATGCCCTCAGAAAGAGCTGTGAAGACACCTGTGGGTGTGACCTTGGAAACTGCTGAGAGGAGCTCCGCTGGCTTCAGAGACCCTGGAGCAAGTAGCAAGCAAAGCACAGATGGAACAGGAAGCCTCTTCTTTCCCCATCTTCCGCTGCCCTCTACAGACAGTTTCATGTTGTGCCAGATGGCAAGGGGAGCATAGGCCCAGCACCCATCAAGGGTGGACTGGGCACTGCCACGCAACAGATGATTAACTGTGCAGGATGCTGGTGGACGGCACTGGTGGAGAGAGCTCTTTCATAAACACTTTTTGAAAATGTTTGCTTGAAGGACTATTCCTGCCCGTTGAGAAATTATTCAAAACAAAGAACTCAACGGAAAAAAAAAATAAGTGTAAAAGAAAAAGCAAAGAACAATTAAATCAATAAACAATGCAAACTAAATGATTGTGATTAATACGGTATAAATATCAATAAAAGTGATGAAAAAGTATTCTTCAAATTATGCATAATAACTCATGATTATAAACTGGGTTTAAATTTTTAGTACATTATAATTATACATAATAGGGGACTTTATTTTTACGTTTTTGTACATGCACACACATAATTTGGTCAGTTGCGTGCCCAGTACCTCCCCTTTCCTTCCCTCCCCCTCCCCTGGTACCCTTCTTCTACTCCACCAATCTCCCTTCAGTTTTCATGAAATCCATCTCCCCATTTTTTCCCCTTTTTCTCTAGCTTACATATATGAGAGAAAACATATGCCCCTTGACTTTCTGAGTTTGGCTTGTTTCACTTAACTTTGTTAACTTTAGGCTTTTTTGTTGTTGGAGGGTGGAAGTACTGGGGACTGAATCTAGGGTGCTTAACCTCTGAGCCACATGCCCAACCTTTTTATTTTTTTATTCAGACATAGGGTCCTGCTAAGTTGCTGAGGCTCGATTTGAATTTTCGATCCTCCTATCTCGGCCTCCTGATCCACTGGGATTATAGGTGTGCACCACCATGCCTGGCAAAATATCACTCTTAGTTTTTTGAAAGTTGGAAAAAACCAAATAATTAACTTATGATGGCAGCTTCTGGTTTAGTAAATTAGGTGTAATTTGGCTTTTTTTTTTTTTTTAATTGTGGTACTGGGGATTGAACCCGGGACCTCATGCGTGTTCTGCCACTGAGCTCTATCTCCAGTCCCAGACTAGGTAATTTCTTTTTGTTTGTTTGTTTGTTTGTTTCTTTTATTTATTTATTTATTTATTTTTGGTACTGGGGATTGCACTCAACCACTGAGCCACACCCCAGCCCTATTTTGTATTTTATTAGAGACAGGGTCTCACTGAGTTGCTTAGTGCCTCACTGTATTGCTGAGGCTGGCTTTGAACTTGCAATCCTCTTGCCTCAGCCTCCTGAGCTGCTGGGATTACAAACATTCGCCACTGAACCTGGTGCCCAGACTAGGTAATTTGAACTGGCCCTCCCACTAAGGACAAGATGAGCTGAACAAAAGTTTAAAGCACCCACTGGGAAGCACAGAGACACTAACAACGTGTGCAGATTCACAAGCCAGAATCTGGAAGAAAACAGATGCAAGTTGGGCACCTGGGGGATTGTATGGCAATCCAGTATAGGTGAGCAATCTCGCCTTTCTCAGAGTTTAGCAATCAAGAATGGGCAGTGGAGAGCCTGAGCACAACTTCTGACAGCCCATGGAGCCAGTGGACAAAAGGTGGAATCTAAAACCTCCGAGATGACAGGCCTGATTATACCCGTCACATGCATACAGACACACTTTGGGTTTAAATCCTAAAGGGCTGCATCCTAGAAGCAAAGGTCATCTGGATGACCTAGAAAAACTCCAATTTCTGAAACTGGATTAAAGATATTTCAGACTGCTAGCCCTCCTAGCTCCCTAGGCTTGGAAGAAGTCAATCATAATTTTCTCAGGGAAAAAAAATGACATATTTCAGGTCTCCATTATTCCTACAAACAGTTTTGCAAGTACAATGTGCTGAACATGATTAAAAAAAAAAAAAAACCACAGCTGGGGGCGTTCTGCTCCCACTTAGGAGGCAGAAAATCCTAAGAGAGCCTCCCTCCCATTATAACATCATGTGCTAGCTGGGACACCTATAAAAATCATAACATAAAAGCCCATCAGAGAGCAGAAGTGAGGCTGTAAACAGAACAGAACAAAACAAATATAAATTAAAATTCTAGAAAGTCATAAGATGAGTCCCACAGTGCTTTCCGGGGAGGGAGAGGAAGCCGCCATGATAAGGGGGAGAAGAAACCAGTGTGGGCGGCCAGATGGGAGAGAACCTCAAGGAGCCCAGCTTCAGAGAGAGTCTGCCCTGCTCCCTGGGACTCTCCATGGGCCTCCCCAGAGAAGGGGGGGGGGAGAGCTTGGGACCTGAGAGCCCTTCTCCTCAGGGGACGCACCCAGGGCCTGTTGAGTGCAGGCGATTAACTGAGGAAAACCCTCCCAGGGACTCTGGGCCTCACAGAGGAATAAGCAGAGGCTGCCCGAGATGTGAGGAGGCAGGGGAGCCGAGAGGCCTCCCTGAGGATCACACGGGCAGCGTCTGCTAGGGCTGGGAGCAGGAAGGAGCGCTGAGCATCCAGGCATGCTCTGGTCACGCCCTGAGTCTGCTGTCTGGGCCTTACAGGGTGGAGAGAGATCTCCAGAAGGTTGGGGATCTGGATTACGGAGGGAAGAAAGCTCCCCAAAGATCTCAAAGCTAGCAGCCAGTCTTTAAAGCCAAGTGGTATATTCCCCTAGTTCAAAAAACTATAAGTTTGGTGGGCTGTAATCCCAGAGCGGCTCAGGAGGCTGAGGCAGGAGGATGGCACATTCAAAGCCAGCATCAGCGAAAGTGAGACACTAAGCAACTTGATGAGACCCTGCCTCTAAATAAAATACAAAGTAGGGCTGGGGATGTGGCTCAGTGGTTGAGTGCCCCTGAGTTCAATCCTCGGTACCCACCCCACCCCACCCCCCAAAAAAAGAAAGAAAAGAAAAGCTAGGCGTTAGACTGTAAAGCACGAAGAAGTTTCTTGAATCTCCTGGTATCTGCCAAAGGGAAGGGGCTCATCTTGCCCTCAAATTACTTGAAACTAGTTGTGAGTGGAATCCAAATAAAGCTTCCAAAAGCCCAGTCTCAGCTCAATGGCATATCAGAGTGGCTCTGCCCATCACTCTGACACCCCAGGAGTAATGGCTGCCCCTCCTCAAGGCACAGGCTGACTGACGTAGCCTCTACCGTTCTTTCCTGCACTGCTGTAGTTTGGACATTGAACGTCCCCTAAGGCCCACGTGTTAAAGGCCTGGTCCCAAGGGTGGCACTGTTAGGAGGTGGAAGAACCTGTGAGAGGTGGCACCTTGTGGGAGTCCTTAGGTCACTGAGGTCATTGGAGGTGTGCCCCCAAAGGAGGTGGTGGGACTTCAGGCCCTTCTTCTATTTTTGGTCTCCTGGCCATGAGTGTTCTGCCGCCAGTCCCCACCATTGCCATCCCCCGCCCCCACCAGAGGCCTCAAAGCCAGGGGTCCACCTGATCAGAGACCCGAAGGTCCAAAACTGTGAACCAGCTCAGATAAACCTTTTCACTTTATGAGTTAGTTATCTCACATATTTTGTTTTAGTCTCTTTTCTTTAGTGACAGTCTTAAACCAGAAAACAGTAGCAAGATAGCACAAAAATTTCTGAGTATTTGCAGATTAAACAGCACACTGCTAAATGATATGTACATCAAAAAAATACACGGCAAGAGGAAATTTAAGATATTTCAAAATGAACAAGGAAGAAAAAGATATTTCAAAGTGAATATCAAAAGAAATAAAATAATAGAGGATATAGCTAAAGCAGTCCTTAGAGGGAAAATTGTCCTTTTAAATGGCAATGTTCCAAAAGAAAAATCAATAAGTGTATCAAAGATCTATATTTCCATGTTAAGGAGATAAAAAGAGAAGAACAGTAAAGTAAGGAAACAGAGGAAAAGAAATAATTTAAAACAGGAGCCTGCATCACTGAAAATAGGTAGATATTATGAAAAAAAATCACAAAATTGAAAGTAGTAGTTTTTTCTTTTCCTTTCTTTCTTCTTCTTCTTCTTCTTTTTTTTTTTTTTGGTATCAAGGATTGAACTCAGAGATGCTTAACCACTGCAGCACATCCCCAGCCCTTTTTTATATTTTATTTTGAGACAGGGTCTCGCTCAGTTGTTTAGGACCTTGCTAAGTTGCTGAGGCTGGCTTTGAACTTGCAAACCTCCTGCCTCAGCCTCCCAAGCTGCTGAGGTTACAGGCATGCGCCACTGCACCCGCCTAAAGTTGGTTCTTCATTAAGACTAATAAAATTAATTAAGCCCTTCCCTTGTAAGACTATCAAGAAAAAGAGAGAGAAAACAAACACCCCAACAGATCCTACAAACATTAAAAGGACCACGTGGAGAGACTATGAACAACTTGATGCCAATAAAATCAATAATTTGGATGAAACTAAAAATTTCCTTAAAAAGTAAAATTTACTAAAAACAGAAAAATATATTAAAATCTGAATAGTTTAATATATTTTAAGAAAATTGAATGTTTAATTTGAAACCTTCCTCTGGAAAAAGCTCTCAGCACAGATGGCAGATGGTCTCAGCAGCAAATTTTATCAAATATTTGAAGAATAAGAAATAATGCCAACACTTCAGCAACTATTTAGTTATATAGGAAACACTCTTTTTTGTTTGTTTGCTTGCTTGTTTTCAGTACTGAAGGGTACTTTACCCCTGAGTTACATTCCCAAACCCTTTTGTATTTTTGGCAGGATTGAACCCAGGGTGTTTTGTTGTTGAGCTACATCCTCAGTCTTTTTTGGAAAAGACCCCCCCCCAAAAAAAAAAAAAAAAAAACCCACAAGAAATAGCAAAAATAAACCAATGGGATTACATTGAACCACAAAGCTTCTACACAGCAAAGGAAACAATCAACAGACTAAAGTGATAACTGAGAGCACGGGAGAAAATATTTTCAAAGTATACAGTTAACAAGGGGTTAATATCCAGAACATATAAGGAAATTCAAAGACTCAGCGGCACAAAATAAGAAGTAAAACAACAACAACAAAACTGGTTTTAAAATGTGCAGTAGACTGAAACGGATATTTCTCTAAAGAAAACATGCAAATAGTTGATAAGTGTATGAATTCCACAGTTGAAATTACTTATTTGAAGTTTCAGAATAAAAGCGTGGTTTTAAGCCATAAACAGGTGTGGTGGCACATGCCTGTAATCCCAGTGATAGGAGAGGCTGAGGCAAGAGGATCACAAGTTCAAGACCAGCCTCAGCGACCTATCTCGACAAAGATTTTAAAAATATATATGTATGTATATGTGTATACACACACACACACACACACACAGGCAAACAAGTGAACAAGCAGGATTTCCAAAGCAAGGGAATTTAAACAAGAAACCACCACATTGTATCCATAAAAAATAGTTTGCTTT